CTTTTTCACTTGTGCCTTTCAGGTGAACGACAACCACTGACCGACAAGAACAAAACAGACCCGGGAATCTTGGGCAAAAGCCTCGATCCTGTGTATCAATCCGTGCGAATCCATGTGCGAATATTGAGCGCTCCCTGTCCGGCACAATCGAACCCAGCACAGCAATCGACAACCCGCCGGATCGTTTTAACAGTCGCTGTACATGCATTTTAATCACCGATTAAGTGAGAGATTTTCAGGTTTCAATTGACTTCAGCTAAACATGCGAATTTAGCATCCTTTGTTGAAAATCTGCCTGAACTTCATAACATTGTTTGAATGCACTACCTGGGCTCGTTCCATTAAGCGAAAGTGCAAAATCTGGGCGGGCAGCCGTTTCCTCCGTATTTCGCATGCAACCACTTCGTGAGTATCTGGGAGTTCGCTCAGCCTATCAATGTATGTTCTGTTTTATGTGTTTCAATGATTTCCTCATCTCCTTCAGACAAAACTGCTGAATGTGTCACCTATGTTACTCGATGCACCCATTTCGTGACTTGCCCTCTGTGACACAAAACGGTTACTCTACTCACATTCTACCTGGTTCTCACTCGGACTCACCCCTTGGCGCACCCTGTGGAAAGTTTGGATATAGAAACGGAATGGCAGTCACCACTGATGGATATGCCCCACAGGCCGCCTATCACACTCAAAGCCACCACCCGCACCCCCACCAAAATGGTCATTTACACCATAGTGCTCAACATCCAACACACTTAGACCACAGTCCTCTGCCGCACGGCCATACTACGGATCACTTCCACCGGCGTGTTTGGGACGTATGGGCTCCGAATTTCCACGAAGGCATGCAGCTCCTTCGACAACTGGGACGTGAGTGCCGCTATGTTGCAGTCGACACGGAGTTTCCCGGTGTTGTTGCCAAAGTTTTTGGGGAGTACGCGAACAGTTTCGAGCAGGCATATCACAATATCAAAGTGAACATCGACATGATGAAACCCATACAAATCGGCTTCAGTTTCTTTAACGATAGAGGGCAAACAGTGGGTGACGTATCCACGGTTCAGTTTAACATTAAGTGGAACGTTGACAACGATACATACGCTGATGATTCTATCAAATTACTGGCCTTTTCCGGAATAGACTTTGAAAAATTGAAACGAAACGGAATAGAACTGAACGATTTTGCTGAGGCCTTCATTGCGAGCGGTCTCGCTTTGAACGATCGAATAACTTGGATTGGTTTCCACAGGTAAGGGGTTTTGCTTAAGTTGTCATTTCTTGTAGTGCGTACGATTTCGCGTACATGATGAAGATATGCACAGATTGGAAACAAATGCCTGACAACTTCCAGGAGTTCCAGAAACGACTGTTGATTTTCTTCCCCCGAATTGTCGACTTAAAGGCAATGATGAGTGAACACAGGTTCCCTAAAAGCGGGCTCCAAGAGCTTGCTGATCTTATGCGCGTTCCCCGTATCGGTCTGAGGCACCAAGCGGGCAGCGATGCTATGCTAACTGGGGAGACGTTTTTCCGATTCCTAGAGGTAAGTTCTGTGCTGGCTTTGTTATCGACCCGTCATGTAGGAACATGGAGGTGGCAAAATTGACCAACGCGTTGTGAACCTGGTTTACGGTCTCAACTACTGTCCCAACGGCGTATCAAACACCTGGGTGCGGATGAATACCTCTAGTCCACAGCTCGATGCTGCGCCTACCAACCGGAATATAATTTCCTGTGCTTCTACGTTTTACCGCAATAATGTTCATAGTGCTGACCACTCAGGTCGAAGTTCACCAGCTGACTCGAACAGTGGCCACAAGAGTAGTTGAATGGATACATCACCGCTCTCTTTCGTTTCCCCTCAACTTCAGGTAGGCTACCGTCAGTAAAACGGTTTTAGCTGCAAGATTTCCATTGGTTGACACTTTGTTTCCTTTTTGTATTTTGTAAATTAGGTCGTTTTTGTTGTCTTGTCGACCATCCCTCGACTTGTCCTTCATTTCTTCTTGATTGGCACTCAATTGCGCACGCTTCAGTGTGTCGACGGGCTGAACACCGGCTTTCATAAGCTGTTCCCCGCCGTCTTCATTGTGAATCGACTGTCTTATGTTATTTAAACGTGGGAACTTTGTGCCTCTCAGTTCTTGTGTGAACTCAGATTTCCCCGGTACACCCAGACTTGTCAGGCCATTAGATTGATCTGGATTAGGCATTTTCCTCCCCACTTCGCATTTTTGCACTACCTTAATCTTTCGCGTAGCGGCTGGGACTGTCATCCTGGTCTGAGCTGCTTTTATGCCAACCGGAAGATGTTCCTCAACTTTGTACATCGGTGAACTGTGACAATACTTTTTAGCCGTCGGAGTTCATGGTATCTGTGATAAAAATTTCGGTGATGCTCGCACGATCATAATTTTATCGATGTGCTTGGTCGGTCGAATACTTTTATGGTTTTGAGCGCCTGTTATTTTTGTCCTATACTTTGTAAAACTTCATGTACATTAGCTTAACTCGTATGTTTGTACAGGAGATTGGATGTCGGTGGTTGATGGTGGTCCGATAGCATTTTTGCACGAGAATGAACATCGGTTGCTGCGACTTCCGATCGACGTTATTAGTGACTTTTCGCTTTTTCGCGTGGTTCTCTTCCTACACCACCGTATTCCACCGATAGCGTCCATTCATATGTTGGAACTAAACAATTCATCCCATTGTACAAAGTTATTTCGCTTCCGCCAGTCACGCGCATTGAGCAATCAGACGAACAGGACGGCGGCTAATGAGAGCTCTCGTGATGTTCTCAAATTACCCGGCGAGATCTTTTTCTCTGTACCGGTGCTGTCACCTCTGTCGGCCCACCATCCTGTGCTATTTTCAACTTTGCCATTTTGATTCTAAAAGACTTGTTTACGTCCCTCTTCATTTTTTGTTGTGCCGGAGAAATCGCTGGACCTGCTCATTGCAGTACGGCTTAGCCTACCCCTTGTTCATAATAGTAGTTTTATTTTGCCGTGTACTAATCCATGTGTATATATACATTGAATTCGGAGCATTACAGTTGACCGTTTTTATTTCAGTACAAAACATAATAGCCCATGATTCGAACGTTTCATGGCATAGTGTCCCAGTCTCTGTTCGATCTTCGTCTGGAAGCCACCTGCGCTTTGATGTATGCTCTTGCTGCCAAAGCTTGAGGTGATCGCAGGTGCGAAGCATATGTCGATGGGTTCTCAGTGTCATCGGAGTGGTCTCGCACAAGTTCGTTGTAGATTATCTTGCAGAAGAACAAGTGAAACAGCGTTATTAACAGTCCGAGGCTAATCCAGAATAGCCAAGGTAATCCACCGAAAGCGTGTCCGTGGCGATGTAAGGTGATAAGGTCATGATCAGGGTTAGGCCCTGGATGCACGTCAGTGTACTTGAACAGTTGGCCGTATTCCATCAGGGTTCTTGCATCTTGTGTTCCGAAGTACATCAGGACCGAAAACGGGATCGTTATCAGAAAGGGTACCATGAGTCTTGTTTTCCTGAAAAGTCAAACGAAAAAAGCGGTTTCAGATGTACGGTGAGTTATGGGTGGAAAAAGACACTGACAGAGAGCGATAGAACCCCAGAGTTGGTGTTTGATTGGCTTCCTGCTTTTGTTTCTCGTCCGGCTCGTTTTGAGCTTTGGTGTGCCTTTTTAGAGATATTTTTAATTTAAGACGTCCGTGTATGTATATCTACGGGCCGGATGAGACTCGGCCGGTGTAACTGAAAGATTTTTCAGACAATTCCCTAACCACAGTCGAGAGAACTGCGAAATTAGTGTGCTAGCTACTGACCGAGAATTCCCCCGTGTAAGTTGGAGCACCATCTTTCGAGTTGACTGGCAGCTATGCTTCAAAGGGATATCAACTGAACGATTTCGTTTGATTTGACTATTTAAACTTCTTTTGGGCTAGGAAATCATGCCAACCAACTGCATCGAGTAAATTGATGATGTCCTCTTTGAGAAACATCTGGTATGATAGTTCAGATCTTAGAAATGTAGGCTGCACCAGTCGCGCGTGCCACGACGGTTTTATCACACGGAATAGAGGTCCACGAAATATAATCAGGATGTTAACTGAGTAGGTGGCTCGCTCATCAAAGTACCTGATACTTAAGAAGCGTCATGCATCATGCAGTCGACAGGGTCAGTCTTCTATACACAGCCAAAGAAACATGGTTCAAAGATTCGCAAATATTTCACGTCTTATTTGCACATTACTTGTAGTCAGAGGGGTCAAGGGAATGTGTTCACTTGGCTTAAGTCGTGTCACATGCACACCAATAATCCGCTGATTCGTGTATTAGCATTTATAATGTCCGGGCTTGTTACGGGAAGTTCTGTCCCTCTGTGTAGGATGCGAAACTAGTTTCACCTTCGTGGACTGTTTTGGTAGCTGCTTGAACGGCATAAATGGATCGATGTGCGCATTACAAGGACTGAAGTTGTAGTTGCCTACGTGTCACCTCATCAAGACCAGACGAGCTGTCCCGTTCAATGGAAGTGAGATCCGCTCCCTCAGATCCGAGTACCTAAGACGTTTTCAAACGGCCTTTAGACCACTTTACATAGCCTTTAAGGCTGAAGTAACTGTACTGCCCTGTATGCGTGACCGTTTTCCGCCCCGAACCCTAGCTGACGAAAGGTTCGTGGCAGGCATACTCGGGACGAGGCAGATTACTGTGAACAGTTCTGTAGAGTAATCGCCCCTTCCTGAACGATACACGTAGTTGGAAACTTACGAAACAAAATAGGTAACCGATCTCGGCCACGACCCTAAGCTAGGCTTGTGGAGAAATTGGCCTGTGCTACCGTTGGAATGGGTACTTACAAACGATATAGAAAAGTAATGGGTGGCTAGCCGTAATAAACGAAGCTGGGAAAGTTTTAAAAAATAGTATCATGCACCCCGGGTAATTCACAAGGGATTCGGCAAGGTAGTGAGTTTGTATATCGGCAAGGAAGGCAACCTAAGGGGAAACCGTTGGGGAGGCGTCGCGCACTAAAACTTCTGATTTAGTGTGGAACGTCTTGTATGTGGTGTCACTTAAGGTAAGTGCCTACGGGATTACCGTGGATGGTGGTCCTGATCGGTAGAGCTCTAATCCGGGAACGAATAAGATGCTAATGCAATGGTTAATTCCCGGGTGCAACTAACGCTGAGTATTCGCTAGCCTCCTCAGTATGAGTTTCGAATACCTTACCAAAGACCTTTTGGAACGAAGACTGACACCTATGAGGGTAAATAAGTATAAAATCAAAATAGGGCTCGATGGACAGAGGTTCACCACTGATTGACAAGCCGCTGTGTGTTCCTAGCCATTGATGAAGATCACTGCGTGGCCTCTGGCGTGTTTGACAATACTTGCTAACTTTGGACCATACCGTAGGTCTCACCGACTGGTCACCTCTTCCCGTCTACAGTCAGTTTAGGTCTTACCAAACAATATACGGTGTGGCGATCGCAAGGTACATGTGGGTCAAGTTTTCACCGGAATTTCTAAATTATTCGATCAACAACCTTGATCGAAACTAGCCAAAAATCGGAATCTTTCAGCTTTTATCTTTCCGGTGCTTAGCTGCTATGCTAAGACGGCTCAGATATTGCCAGGTTACCCAAGCCTAAGCAGGAGAATTCAAGGTTGGGTTGAGGTTGAGAGGTTGGGTTCGAAACACAAACCTCCCTGTCAGTGAACGCGCGCTATAACCACTAAGCAATCTCGACGCCAAAGGAGTAACAATACAATAGCTTGTGTGAGGAGGGGCCGAGTTCCCAAATTATAGTGGCTGATCGCACAAGGCGTCATAAATTGGCTTTATTTCCAATGTCAAAGTTGGTTGGACGCTGCGGTCAAAATTCTACCAAGACCGATGGTTGGTTCCCAGCTATTTGGCGTTTGCATGTGATAACTAAGGTGACCGACAAGCACACAGTGTTGGTAAAGTGCAAAGCTTCAGTCAACTTTAGAACTGTATACCGCGCTGCTAACTAGGACAGCTCGGCCATGTGTTCCATATATCGAGTTACAGCCTGTTGAGGAAAGTGGCGAAAACCTAGATATCGGCGTACTGTTGTCTCGTAGAAGAGGGGAACCATGGAAAGCCTAGGTGCTTTCTGCATTCCACGATGGGGCTAACGTAACAATCTCTGCCAGCGACATATCCTCAGAAGATGTCCTCGTCTCCCCTCTTAAGCACGCCTTCCATTGACGTTACCTGCAATATCTACCGTTAATTCGGTTGCGACGACCGTAGACAACCAGAGCATTCTTCAAACCTCAGTTCAGCTTTTACCGTTCTCATTCTCAAACAAGTCGGACAACAGGCTGCTCCTGTATGCATGCTGAGCTCATTTTTTTGCTGTTGTACTGTCTCCTGTAACGGGGATTCAAGATCCGTTGCTCTCAACTCACTTCTGGCTGCGCACCTCTGCTGATTCGGAAGGCACGGGCTGGCTTTGCTGGTGTGGTTGTAATTCACCGAGTCTTGGAGTTTCTGCTTGAGTCGTTACCTGAGTCGCCTGTTTGCGGTCTGTGAACCAGTCACCCAGAAGGACGGCTTGCCTATCTATAGAAAAGAACACATGACCCTGCAGTTGCTCAGCCGGATTTTCGACTGGCAACAGTCCTCGATGATGAACTTAACCCTCCCCCTCCCCAACTTCTTCAGAGACAGCCTAATGCCTTTTGTCTCAAGCGTCACCAAGCTGCTGGTCCTAATTCCCATCACTCCGTTTAATGACGGAGATAAAGTCGACAGTCAGTGATTTTGTAACTTATTTGCTTCTATTTGGGAGCAATAGACCTTAACCAACTATAGTTTATAGTGGTGCTCATCATCAAAAAGGTAGCTCACAGGGAGTGTGCCGATCACAGATGTGTTAGTTTGACCCCCCCGTTGTAAACAAATTTGTTGCGTCGCTTATTTCACTTCGTCTCACGAAGGCGCATGAAGAGGAAACCCGAGAACAGCCAGCAGGATTCCGGCCGGGAATGGGCTGTGTGGAGCACATCTTCAAATCCCGTCAAGTGTTCGCAACGCCATGTGTGTAGGCACCCTACGACCCTGGTATTCCTTTACACCAAGAGTGCGTTCGATTATGTCATCACGTTAGCTGTTTTCCACAGGCTTGCGCAACAGGTATGCTCCAGAAGTGCATGAATATCACATGCTGTTTGTATTCACACACTCGTGGGCGCGTGATAGTGTATGGGGAGCCCTCCAAACAGTGGTGTCTGATAAAGTTGTCCACTGCCTCTGTTTTTGTTTAATCCTTTTATTGATGAGATACTGAGACGAACACTGGAAAGCCGGGGGGACGAGATGACTTAGTGGTTAGAGCTCGAATTTATTGACCGGAAGGTCCGTGGTTCGGACCCGACATCTGCCTTCGACACCCCCTGTCTAGGTTTGGGCAACCTGGCAGTATCCCATCCCTCGTGCATCCTTTGGATGGCATAGCAGCTAGGCACCGAAAGGGTGTTACAGCTGAACGACTACTATTATTACACTCGAAGGTCTCCCATAGCAGCTGGCACCGAAAGGGTGTTACAGCTGAACGACTACTATTATTACACTCGAAGGTCTCCAAACTCCCTGTGTTCAGCTCTCTCCGAGCGAGAACCTTGCCGGCCTGGAACATGCAAACGACGTTCTCATTTTCGCAGAGGCATTACCAAAAAAGCCGACCAACGTCGTCCAGTTTTTCAACATGTGATTTGCGACCAAAAGGTGCAGTTATGATACAGGTCGTAAGTTATTTGAACATGTATCTAACAGATGACACTGGAAGCCGTGGAATGCTATACGTATCTCAGAAATGACAGTGTGGCAGACGTAGTGAGCGTACACACCTCAAAGGCCATAGTTGTTTTCGCCAATCATCGCCACTTGTGGCATCAAAAAGGCGTATAGCTTGGCATCAAAGGACGCATGCCAGGCTACAGGCGTTTCGTACCGTACAGCTGTGAGACATGGTCACCAATGCCTTAAAACTATGGCTGGAATCGGCTGGAACAAATTAGGATTGAGGTGATCAGATGGGATAATTAGAAAACGGATATTTGGTTGCGCAGCTATCACTTCAGTCGAGGAGGACATCCAGCACCACCAGCCGCAGTGGCAAGTCATGTACTACGCATGCCAAAACGTCTACCGAGGGAATATTGTTTTCTGTGCTACCGTCAGAATGGCGGAAATCGCGGAACGAACAACCTATGACCTGACAGAAGGGTGTGAAAGAGATTACGAAAAGTTGAGTTGTTCGTGCGGTCCACCTTCCAGGATGGGATTCCCGCGATCCCCTTTGCGCTTGGATAAAGGCACCGCAAGAAACGGCGGTGAATTGACGCCAGTGGCGTTTGTGCTGTCACTTTCCTTCCAACTTGTCTGACAGCATTTCAAGTTGTGCACACCTCAGAATGCTTGCGACTCGCCAGCACCAATCCCCTCCCTCATCCATTGTCTTCTCTTTTTTCACTCAGAGGTCTTGTACGG